GGTGCCAGGACCGACAGCAGGAGCAGCAGGACAATGGCAGTTGGTGTGCCATTTGTTTGAAGTGTGCCTTCGATAAGCGGCCAGTTGGTCAGCGGCAGTGGATCCGATCCGGTTTCAAAACAAAAGTTTATGGTTACACTTAAAGCTCAACCATGTGGATGATGATTAAATGTTGCCAGGAGTCGGGTACACCCCATTCTGTTTTTGCTGCTCGTATAATTCCCGCATTAATGATGTCGATTTTAATAAAAACAGCCAACATTTTATGCTCCAGCGAGCGCATTTTAATGCGAAACTCAAACATACACGAGATAAAATAAATATAACTCATACGCCCCGTGTGCAGTGGCCGGGAACCTTCGAAACAGGCGGCAGTGAGCAGTCAGCAGGCAACAGGACTCCTACGGAGTCTCAGGGGCAGTAAAAACAGCAGCTGCCGGGCGTTATTTCCTCTCCGCAGCGGAGCAATGCGTGACCAATCCGAAAGGGGTCGCAAATACTGGGCCAACTTCCATGCAAAACTGACGCAGACACTGCAGGCATGCACGCAGAGAAATAGCTTGGAATAGTTTCAATCTAAATAAAAGAAATGTTATACTTATTTTTCAAGGCAAATATAAAACAGAAAATTTTACTTTTGAAAATATCAAATACTTTATTATTCTGTTATTTTACCTATTGCTATTTATAGTAATGAGTAACTTAAAAACAGCCTTTTTAAATAGTTACTTAATAAGGTATACCCAAAATTTAACATAAATATTTTCTACCTTTTTCGGGTAATTTTCAAAACTCCTTTTTAAGGCTCAATTTTTGTTAATGTTCAAAAAGTATGATAACTTCTCATATTTTTTTTCGTACTAAGCTGTTAATGAGCTTACCTAAATCCTGAAATTTTTTAAAGTGCATTCGAAGGAAGAGAAGTCCAAAGCAAACTGGCAAAAGTCCGTTGAGTCCATTATATAAATGCTCTTTTAATAATAGCTTGGCTAGCGGTAAATGGTGTCGCATTCGCCATCTCTGTTGCACTCTACTTCTCTCTCTACTTTTCTCGAGTATTTGCATTCAGCATAATGTGCATAATGTGACCCAGTGTAATTTAGATAAGCGGATAAGCTCGAGTTCAGAGTAAACTAATTAAGGACTACACGGTGACCATATGGGTTTATGGTTTTTGCCCTGTTATTTTCATGCCCGCCGGCCGTCAATCAATCAATCAATGTAGATCAATTAGTGCCATTAATTCGACATTAATCATGGAAAAGCTGCAAAACATTCGTCTTGTTCTCTCTGCTAGTTTTGTTTGTAAGCTAATTAAATTTTAGTAGGATAAGAAGAAGAAGAAACCGCTCCCCACAAAATCCCTGAATAAATATTTAAGTATTGGGTACATGCTCATTTTTAAAGTGCATCTTGTTTGGTTGACCTGTGTTTGATGAATGCACTGGGAAAATTTGTTTATAAATCGATCATTAATTGGGTGACTTATGTAAGATATGTTTAGTATGTTTTTCATTCTAAATTTTTTGGAATTGTCTCGAAATTGTTGTTATCAGAATTATCACAATAGAAACATGTTTAACTTAGAGTGTAACGATCCACAAGATAGGATACATTTTGACTATGTGATATCTACTTAGCCTTTATAAAAGAACAATTCAAATTATACTTTTTAAGAAAGTTTCGAAATAAATATTTCTAAAAAAAATAAAGCTTAATAGTTGCAAAAGCATTTCTCATTAAACAAAAAAAACGAATTACAAGCGACATATGTACACATGTTTTACTAATCTTTTCAGCGGAAAGGTTGCTTTTATCTGAGTGTAAATCAAACATTTTCGCTTGGTCCTTTTGCATCTCCACGGTTTTTCTCCGCCCCCATTCAGTGAATTCTGGTCCTTTCGGTCTGGCCTTTTGCATAAGCAAATACGCGCGATTCGCAAACACGTGACGCTTGTTTTTTTCTCCCACCCATCGACCCATCATCCCATCCACCCACTGACCCAGCTGGGGGTTCCCCTTATTCCCAAAGTGAATGAATGACTGAGTGAGTGACTGGCAGAGTGAGTGACTGTGAGAGTGAGTGAATGATGGCTGGTGACCAGTTCATGGTTCAATGACAAGCAACTTTCAGTTTGCGTGTGCTCCTCCTCTGCTTTTGGTTTTGTTCTCTTCTGGTTCGTTTTGTTTTGTTTTGTGTGTGCTAACTGACTGCACACCCCCCTGATCCACACTACCCCCCCTCCCAGCCAACCCCCTATGCCAGGGGCTATTTGTCTGCGGTTTGGCACACCCCCACCGAATCATCCCCACCCCGCCCCTTTCACCTGACTGCCTTTTTTCGCATCTGTCCTGCTTTCTGTCGGGACAATCGTTTAATTATGTACAACATTTGGGCTGGCCGAAAGGAGCTTATGTACTGGGTTCGGGTTGGGCCGCAGGACAATTACTGAATTTGCGACACAATTCGGACAGGAGTTCTCGGCAAACATTAAATGACACATTAAATTGCTTGGCTCCACTTTTCGATTTGCCAAACTTTATTTTGTTTCTACTCAGAGAAAGAAATCAATAAAAACGTTTTATCAAAATTTACTTATATGATTAATATTTAAAGGACCATAAAACATATATGAAATGTACAGTAGAATGTATAATAACAGTGTAAACATTTATTGGGCAAACGCCAAAACTCTTAAAATATAAAAATGCTGTAATTTTCGATCTTCTTGCAAAAAAAAGGGTAATAAAGGCTAAATTGTTTTGAGTAACTTTTGTTTATCAAAATTAACATTTTTTTATATTACACAAATATTTAAAACTATAAAAAATAAAAACAAATTTTAAAAACTGCTTTAATTGCTTTCTCAGATTCTGTAGCATAATTTGTAAGTACCCCTAATGCAACAGTTAGAAGTAGTTCAACTAATTTTCAAAGTTTAAAGCCTCTTAAATGACCAGCATAAACACACACTTCAAGTTGACTTTTCGCACTTGTTCAGTAATGCCGGCAATTACACAATTCTCGATTACATTTGAGGCAGCAATTAAATCTAATCTGAAGCGTATTTATGGACAGTATTGACTCACAATGGGCCGCATTGATTGAGTTTTCCCTGTTCCGCACTGACATTTGTAATTACGATTGTGATATAAGTTGAGCACGCCAAGTTTGAAACATCAACACTAATTTGCTGAGGGCTGAGTTGAATGCTGAGCTTCGTAATTATCGGAAAAGATATTATTTGAATTGGATCATATAAACATAACACTACCGATTTATGGTATTTGCCTGGGGCTGCTCGTATAACAAAACATTTGCATAATGAGTTGGCCCTTTTATGAGTCCTATAACCTTTGCCACTTGCCACGTGACGCAAAAATGTGTAAAGCAATAAAAGGTCGAGTTTTTCCGGGTGCGGGAAAAGGCAAAAGCAAAGGCGGAGGCGAGTTTCCCCCACAGACAAAGTTAATTGAAAATGGCTAAGGTTCAGCAAGCGAATTCCTCATGACTACGCCAGCAGCTTTGGCATTTTATTTGCCAGGCATATTTGATTTCGAGATCCTTTTCATATCAGGTGTCAAAGGCTTTTCAGGAAGGCATCGTCGTCTCCCAGGGAACTTTTTAGCATTTCCATGTCAAAGCATTGCAGGAAAAGCTATTGAGACCCGTTTCGTCAGCTGCAGACATTGCATCAGTTTCCCCTCAACTGCATCTTCGAGTGCTGCAATCTGGAGGGCCAAAAAGGAAGGGAAAAGGGGGAGGAGTTGGAGGAGGGGCAGGAGGAGGAGCAGGAGGAGGAGCTGGAGGAGGAGCAGGAGGAGGAGCATAAGCAGGATGAGTAGCAGGAGCAGAGCATCCTGGCAGGTCGCAGTTCTCTGCGGCCGACACGTGAAACCATCATCAATCTAGTAGCAATGGCAACGACAGTTTTAACGACTTCTTGCGGATTACTTCAAACAAAATAACCACTTTGTAGTAGGAATTTTATGTTGGCCCGGTTGGTGTTGATGGCTTTGGCTTCAGCAACGGCTACGGCTTTGGTCGCCCATTTCGAAGAGAATCCGCTGCATTTGGGCAAAGTTTTGCTGCGTGCCGCAAAGTTTACCCTTCCTCCGGTATCCGGAATCCGGAATCCGGAACCCGTAACTACTTCGTCCTCCTCCCATGACCAACTATCCGCAGTGCAAATTGCCGGACTCCCACAAAAGCAACAGCCGCAGGAGGCGATGGAATAAATATTTATTGATACTGCAGCAACGTGGTATAATTTGCCTATAACATAATGCAGTAATTTCGGCAAAGCCACCCACTTTACCTTCTCACTTCTGAGAATGGCTCCTTGGGTGCCGTTTGCCAAAACAATCTAGGGCTCTTTAATTTAATTTCGGTCGTGGGAATCTTGTAAAAAGTTCTGATAGAGTAAAATCAATTGAATTATAACTTCCTTTTGAGCTTGTTTGTGTCAAACAAAAAACCACTCATGCAAAATTAACTTTTCCACCTCAATATTATTCAAATAGAATTTAGCTTTTGGCAACTGCATAATTGACAATAATAAAATGCCGGTTAATTGAATTTAAATAAATTTTAACAGCTCGAAGGACCTTTAATTTAATTCGGGTTATTATTAATCTGAAACTTTTAATGGAAAAAAGAAATAATTTTTAATTGAACTACCAAAATGCTTAAAAATTAATATCTCTTAAATAAATCTAATTTGTATGCAAGTTTAATTAAAAATTTGTGCTGTTTTGTTCTTTGACCAAAAATAACTTTTTAATAGATACATTATTTTTATTTGTACTTTATTTAAAAATGAATAAAACAATCTTTGGGCGAAAATAAAGTATTTATTTAATTTGAATAAAAAACAGAAAGTATACAAATTTTACAAAGCTCATGGTTTTCTTAAAAATTCTCCAAAAAGTTTAAACTTGGCCCTTGTTTTCATACCACCAATTAATTTTGAAATGCACCAAAAGATAAAACTAGTTCCTTTTCAGCTTTTTTGAATGTTCAAATGAATAAATATAAATGTATATATTTATTATTCACAGCACGTGCTTTAAAACGCATACAGAACAAGCATTTAATCGAAAATACCCTCTTCCTGTGCCTTGTTGACCAGGGCCTTCAGCCCGGCGGTGACCTCGAGGCCCACCTCGGTGATTTGGTTGGAGGGCAGGAAGAATCCGAAGGTGCCCTTGTCGCGCAGCTCCACGGTGCAGGTGAAGGGGATGTTCTTCACGCCATAAGCCCAATCCTTGGCAGCTCCAGAGACGACATCTGTGTGGGGTATATGAACTCTGTTAGTAAAGGTTACTTATCCTTATGCATATTCCCAGAAAACTCACAGTTGAGCAGACCACTAGCACCGTAGGTGAAAGCGGAACCATAGACATCAGCAGCGGCATCTGAGAAGGCGGCGGCAATTCGCTTCATCTGCTCGTAGTTGGGAGGGAACTCGGTGTTGGAGTGTCCATAGGGCAGCAGGACATACTGTCCATAGGCGTGGTAGGCCATGTACGAGCGAATGTAACCATCCTCGAAGGAGCTGACAAAGTTCTGCAGGGATACGATCTCAATTTCAGTGTTGGGCTCAGCACCACCGAACCAGTGATCGCAGGGCTCGTCGATGTTCCAGCCAGCACCTCCCCAGTGGTAGTCGAAGTTCCTGTTCATGTCGATACCAAAGCAATCTCCGGTCTCGTTCCTGTGTCCATTGGGACGACGGTTCTTGCGCCACAAACGCTCCACTTCGTGGGTGTAGACAAAGCCATCGGGATTCACCATGGGCACCACAATCCAATCGTACTCCTCGCTCAGACGCTGCATTTCCGGATCCTCGGAGTTGATCAGCTGGTTCAGCAGGAAGGTGACGGTGGCCGACGAGATCCACTCCATGGCATGGATGTTGCCCTCCAGGAAGATGGCCTTGTTGCCCTCACGCTTCGACAATTTCACGCTCTTAATATCGCGTCCCTCGAACGACTTTCCAATCACTTTGCACTCCAGGAAATCGTGGGCGGCACACTCCTGATCAACCCAATCGTAAATGGTATCCAGGGTATGGTATGTTTCCCATTCCATTTTGGAATCATCTCCAACAGAGGAGTCATCAATCAATCTAAATGGAGAACGGTTTTCATAACTCAAGCTTTTTGCTTTTTCAAATCAATAACTCACTTCTGCAGATCCTCCACAATCACTTTGTGAACGATCTCCAGGAGGTTCATGGTCTTCTCGAAAACTCGGTGGAACAGAGGTCCCACAATAACATTGTATTTATGTCCGGGAGCACCCAGCTCGTTGAGGAAGTGCACCTTAAAAAGGGATCGCGGTTAGGATTGATAATTACTTAGAGGATCATTGTAATATCTACTTACAGAGATGTGCTCGTGAATCTTCTTAAGCTCCTCCATCTGCCAGTTCGTTTCAATGGTAAGCTGATAGATCCTGAAATTGTGGTACCGCGCAGCCATGCGACCAGGAGCGGATTTGGCCGCTGCCATGGCCACCAGGGCAATCAGGAGGATGGTTAGTTTCATGTTACTGCTTGTGGTGTGCAGTGTTCACTGTGAGGTGACGGATCCCAGCCAGGGTTTTTATTAGCTGCCGGAGTGGCCACTCCACTGTGGCATTACCTAATGCCGATAGGGAGTTCCGATCAGTCATCTGGCGTGTGTCTCCTCCGATCTAATCGCCCATCCAACCTACCACAAAGTAAGCGCTGGACTTTGTCATCCAACGGATGCATGGGTAACCAGAGCACACTACACAGAAAGAAATCTTTTTATTACATATAAAATATGTGGTGCACCGATTATGGGTACCAGGTATTTGTTGTATACCTATTAGTACCACAAGTACAAATTTTTAATATTTTTGGAACCAATAACAAATTATAATTACAAATAGTAAGTTTGGAAATTTTTTAAATTAAAATTTTTTTAACAATAATAAAAACAAATATGTTCTGCTAATTTATTTTTTATCTTTTCGCCAGCCTAAGAATATATTAACTTTATAGGGTCAGAAATGCTACCTTCTCGGTGTTCCAAACTTGTGAAAGAATTTAATAGTACCTTTTTTCCAAAAAATTCGATAAAAATTTAAAAAGGTTAAATTGACTTATTATCAACAAAAAATCATTTTATAAATATCAGTTATATAAAATGAGATATGTTTTTTTTTCTCAGTGCATTTAACCAACAAAGTCGACTGTCTTTGTTAAATTTATAAATGAAATAATGGAACAAGTGCTGTGGCACTCGCCTTATCAGGCAAGTCCAATTAACTGAATACTCCTCCAGGCGTCTGCGCGTTTAGAAGCACTTCTCTTCTAGAAGCATTTGTTGAAAGCACTAGCAATCTGAAGATCGACATCTTGAAGTGGTGAGAGTTGGTTTCGTTAGACAGTTTATTGTGAAACTAGTGCATTCATTCAGCCAAATTTACTATTCAAAAATATGAGATAATGGATAAGCAAATACTTTTGCCCTTGACATTTTATTCTGGACTTAGAAGTTGATTTATTAAAACGCAATTTCGCTGGAGATATAGATATTTTATTCAGTTTTAAAATTTTCTTAGGACCAAAACTATTGATTCCAGGTGTATGGGGAAAAATTTTATTTATGACCTATTTTTGAATTTTTCATAAGGGTTCATGTTTATTGGCGAAAAATCGACTAAAACGAAATTTTTTAACTGTGAATGCCAATCGATTGGAACATTTGACCATTATTTCCCATGGTTTTGATCAAAAAACCGAAAAATGAAAAACATTTTTTTTTGTGAACACGGTTGGAAATTTTATAACGAATTCAATGATGTATGGCATTCCAACATCTGACCATTTTTTCCAGGGTTTTGATCAAAAAATCGAGAAAAAAGTTTATTTTTCCCGGATCTCCGGATTTCAGCATTTTTCATAGGGGGTTACATTGTCTTTTTTGGCGAAAAACCGGTCAAAATGAAATTTTTGAGCTGTGAACGACCCGATTGGAAATTTTATAACGAAATCAACGAGATATGGCATTCTAATATGTGACAATTTTTTCCCATGGTTTTGATCAAAAAACCAAAATAAAAGTTGATTTTTCCGGACCCTCCGGATATTGCAATTTTTATAACGGCCAAATTGAATTTTTTAGCTGTAAATGCCACTCGATTGGAAATTTTATAACGAATTCAGCAAGGTATGCCATTCCAACATGTGACCATTATTTCCCAGGGTTTTGATCAAAAAACCGAGAAAAAAGTTGATTTTTCCGGATCTCCGGTTTTCGGCATTTTTGATAAGGGGTTACATCATCTATTTTTGCGAAAAATCGACCAAAATGAAAATTTTGAGCTGTGAATGCCACTCGATTGGAAATTTTACAACGAATTCAACGAGGTATGACATTCCAACAGCAAACCATTTCTTCCAAGGGTTTTGATCAAAAAACAGAAATAAAAGTTGATTTTTCCGGATCTCCGGTTTTCGGCATTTTTGATAAGGGGTTACATCATCTATTTTTGCGAAAAATCGACCAAAATGAAATTTTTTAGCTGTGAATGCCAATCGATTGAAAATTTTATAACGAATTCAGCAAGGTATGCCATTCCAACATGTGACGATTATTTCCCAGGGTTTTGATCAAAAAACCGAGAAAGAAGTTGATTTTTTCGGATCTCCGGATTTCAGCATTTTTCATAGGGGGTTGTCAATTTTGGCGAAAAACCGACCAAAATGAAATTTGAGCTGTCAATCGATTGGAAATTTTATAACAAATTCAGCAAGGTATGCCATTCCAACATGTGACCATTATTTCCCAGGGTTTTGATCAAAAAACCGAAATAAAAGTGGATTTTTTTCGGATCTCCGGTTTTCGGCATTTTTGATCAGGGGTTACATCATCTATTTTTGCGAAAAATCGACCAAAATGAAAATTTTGAGCTGTGATAGCCACTCGATTGGAAATTTTACAACGAATTCAGCGAGGTATGACATTCCAACATTTGATTATTATTTCTCAGGGTTTTGATCAAAAAACAGAAATAAAAGTTGGTTTTTGCCGGATATCCAGATTTTGGAATTTTTCATATCATATTGCTAAAAATCGGCCAAAAATAAGTTTTTTAATATTACATCTAAACATAATTTCCCTGTGAGATTAAAAAACGCCGTCCTTCTCTAAATTTATAATAAAGACTGAAAAGCTCTACGCACTTAGTTAAATTTTAGTTTAGGTTTATTGTTTATACTCTAATAAAACATGGGTTAATGGTATTAAATTAAATTTAACGTATTTAAGCAACCGGCGTTGCCAGAAGATCAACAATAATTAAAATACGTTACCACTGACAGAAAATATCGATAGTCCCGGCCAATAATCGATGGTTAGTGCCGGTCACACTTTGCACCGCCATATTTCTTTTCTTCGTTTCCGGTGAGTGTGTGTACTCCGCGTTGTTTTACTTAAATTAATTTTAATAAAAATACCCTTGAATTTCTGGGCTGGGCTGTGTGAAATATCATATTTAAGAGTAAAATCTACCTGGGGATACAGGTATTGCTGACTGAAACGTCCAATAAGTGGGGTAGAATTGAACTTGAAAAATCAATGAAAACGACCCCCACCTGAGATATTTCGCCGCCCTTTTGAACCGGCGCCAGATGATTTTTCCAAGCTTAATTAACACGAGTTGCGAACAAATTGCCTAACCAATTGTTGTCCACTTGTTCCTTTCGCAGACAAAGATGCCTGAACTGACCGAAATCAAGAACGAGGCTGCACCCTCCACCTCCGCGGAGGCGAAACCCGAGGATGTGCGCGTCGAGGACGACGGCAGCGATAGCGAGTCGGATGGCGGTATGCCCGCTCTGGAGGAGGCTGGAGCAGCCACCACACAGCTGGGAGGCGGTGCCACCGGTCTGCCCATCGACCTGGTGTCCAAGGCCAAGCAGTCGCGCGGCGAGAAGAAGGCCAGGAAGATCATGCTGAAGCTGGGCCTCAAGCAGATCCAGGGCGTCAACCGGGTGACGATCAGGAAGTCGAAGAACATCCTGTTCGTGATCAACAACCCCGATGTATACAAGAACCCTCACAGCGACACCTACATCGTGTTCGGCGAGGCCAAGATCGAGGATCTGTCGCAGCAGGCTCAGGTGGCCGCCGCCGAGAAGTTCAAGGCCCCGGAGGCTGCTAGCGCTGCCGACAGCGTGGGCGCCACCACATCTGTGGCCCCGATTGCCGAGGAGGACGAAGAGGATGTGGACGACACCGGCGTCGACGAGAAGGACATTGAGCTGGTCATCACACAGGCCAACACGACGAGGGCCAAGGCCATTAAGGCTTTGAAGAACAACAGCAACGACATAGTCAACGCCATCATGGAGCTGACCATGCTCTAGAGCGGGCTCCAGCTGTTGCTGAACTCCTGATTTTGTTGTTTACCCGCCTTTCGATACACTCTACTGACCCAAATGTTGTGCATGCCCCATGCGGGGCAGCATGTAACACCAGTCGAACATTTAATTATATTTCAATTGATTATTGAATCTAAATAAAAGTGGATTTTCTTTCAGATACCATTTAATGTATTTTTCGACTAGTTTTGGGTTTCCACTATGGGAGGTCTTAAAATGCCATAGCTTACCAAATTCGATTAAGTATAGACTGAGGTTCCGGGTTAAGTACTTTGAGATTATGGGACTGGCACATAAGGGGTTAATTGGGGGATTAGCTAAGAAGTTCAGGTTGCAACCGATTTGAGGACGCGGGCCTGGCTTCGAGATGCCAAACGTATATCCGCCGGACCCTGCATCCAGGGCTCTCCATCCGCCTGCATGGGCACCGTCTCTTTGATTTGTAGCTGGAAGAGATCGATGATTAAAAGGATTTTGGTCGGAATGCAAGTAGACGTACCCTTAATTGCTTGGCTTGGCCAATTCGCACTGGTTTGCTTATATTGCACTGCAACTGGGCAATGTGAAAGGAGGAGACAATGCCAAACACCTCCATCATGCCATCAGAGATGGAGTTCACGATGCGCACCTCGCCATTGGAGTTGCTTAGCTCGCACAGTTTGCATCCCGCTCCCCAGGAGTCGATATTTAGGAACACCAGGGCCTGAAGTTCAGGCAGTTGCACTGGTTTGTTGTCCAGGTACAGGGTCAGCTTCTGCTCGAGGTGTTCGCAGCCAGGTTGCATCACCTGCTGCGTTCCAAAGGTGAAGTACAGAAGCTGTAAAGATGGGGGTAGTTTATGAGTAAGGTGAGATAAGCTATCTCGTATCTCACCTTATTGAATATCCGACTGCTGAGCAGATAGAACCGAGATTCACGCGTTTTGTGGAAGTTGTAGGTGATGAACGCGTCCACACCCACACTGAAATAGTTGTACACGTGAATCGTCTTTGTAGGATGCCTCTGGATGGGCAGTCGGTAGTGCAGCTTCTCTATCTGCAGGTCGTATCGGTCGAGATTCACGGAGCGGGCACGCCGAATACTCCTGAGGATCTCCACAGGATCGAGGACCGAGGGTGGCTCCGCTCCCCAGCCCAGAACTCGCGACAAATCGTTGCCGGTGCCCAGGGGCATGATGGCCACCGACGGCTGGGGTTTGATGTTCAACGCGTAGATTGTATTGAGCACCCAACCGATGGTGCCATCGCCGCCAGCCACTAGTATGCGACACGGGCGAGGACTGGCCTTGGCGGCCCACTGCAGGGCATCCTGTGGACCGCGTGAGCCCAGTTCCATCACCTGCAGCGGGTGCAGGTAGCCACGCAGCAGGGACAGCACATTGGCGCCCGTACTGCTGCCCGACTTGGTGTTGGCAATCACAATCAGCGGTTCCCAGTTCTCAATGTCCGGCGGCGTGATGCTCGCCAAATGCAGGCGCATCGAATCCCTGGTCCGAGCGGCCACGAAGCTGTAGGGCGGGAAGATCATGTCCTTAAACTCGCCAAAGTCGCAGGTGCTCTTGGAGTCGACGCGCGAGTAGCAGTCATTGTGATAGCACCGCTGGCACCAGGCACACCGCCATCCGTACAATCCCGGATCGGTGCTGACATGGTGATCCACCTCCTCGCCGCAGTCCGCGCAATGGACGCCCATGGGCAGATTGCCGTGGACCCACAAGTGCCGCACGGAGGACTCGTTGCGCAACCATTTGTCCTTGCAGCGGTACTCCCTGTCCGCCCTCCGCTGACAGAGGGGCGTGGCATGGGTGCACAGGCCGCAGCAGTCGCAGAAGAGTCCTGCGGAGGGAGTCAGCAGGATCTCGCAGACGTTGCAGAAGCAGGCCTGTAAGATATAGGGACATGTCATAAATAAGTGTAAGGGAGTCTCAACAAGTGAATCAACTCACCTGCTCGATGACTTTTATTGATTTCCAACTGTGACGTGTTTTAAAAGTGCTAACGAAGTCCTCGGACAGCAGACTGCGACAGAAGACGAACAGGACACCCAGGGCCAGTAGCGAGCCAATCAGAGCCTCCACGCTCAGCTCGATGGTGGCTATGTCCATGGTCCACGAACAGATTCCCCAATTACGCTAAATTGCTAGGTAATTTGGCATTTTCACAAATCGTTTGTTTTTGCTCCGTCGACATTCCACCAGTGTGACCACGTCGATAACGGTCAAAAATACCATCCGGACATAGTAATTTCAATTTAAAGTTATTTATGGTCACCCTTATCTGTCACCCTTTTAACGTTTTCCGACACTGCTTGTCAACCTTAGAAATCAGCTGTAAATTTGGCGTGTGGAAAAAGTTTGCCTGAGGAAAATCAGAAGTTCAAAACGAAAATCTCGCCAACATGAAGGTCATCTACAACACTCTGTTCAAGCGCACCTCCACCTACGCCGTGGCCATCATCGCGTCGGCCTTCTTCTTCGAGCGCGCCATCGATGTCACATCGAACACGATCTTCGATACCGTCAACAAAGGCGTAAGTATCAACCGCTTATGTAAGATGAGTTTCCTGGTCAAATATTGAATTTTTCACTCGCTTGCAGAAACTCTGGAAGGACATCAAAGCCAAATACGAATAAATCACTATGATTCGTTGTAATTAGCAATAATAATCAACGTTTATTCTAAACGAAACGAAAACTAAACAAGGTTTTTCTGGGTTATTTAACCGATTTTGGTGGTGGTGCTGTGGGTTCTAAGGATTCCTCGGATATCTCCCAGGGCTTTTCGTGGCGCTTGGCATCCCAAGGCTGTGAGTTGGCCAGGCGGGCGGGCTCCTTGAAGGAGACACCATTATCCTGGAGGGTTTGGAGCAGCTTCTCCAGCTTGCTCCCAGGCACAGCATCCACATTGCATGTCATTTCTGTGATCCCCGACTGCAGGCAACGATGTGCCAGCACTCTTCCGAGGTTAACAAATGCCGAAGTATCATTGGTCTTGTAGAGCTGCTGTTTTATGGCCCATTCCGAGGTGCTGGCACTTAGAATTGTTCCATTTTCGAAGTGCTTGACATCGGCGCTGACATACCGACCGCTGGTATTGATCTCCAGGGTGTGCCAGTAGGATCGACCGGGTTTCTCCAGATGATAGCCACCCGGCTTGTAGGCAATGCGTAATCTCTCCAGATTCCTGGGATTCCGGTTGATCACATATGCCGCGCTGGTTTGCGGTGTGCTTAGCTCCTTGATTTTGTGAAAGACACGGGCGGAGGTGAGAGGACGGGCACTGCGAGACATATTGGCACTACAATCCCTGAAAAACCACACTTTTTATTGATATTTAAGAGGGGATTACAAAACCACAAAACCATACCAAAATATCCAGAAAGCAAGTATTGGTAAACGTCTAGCTTAAGCAGTGCTGCAAAATGCGTATTTTCAGTTCGAGGTGAATGGCTACGCCGAACAGCTGTTTCAAACTTGTTTTCCTCCAAATTTCTAGTTTCTTCAGATTCTTTTGGCCTTGAGCACTTTCACCGCCTCCCCAAACAAGACAAGACGACCCCCTTCAGACATGCGCCAAGCGGATCCGGCGCCCTCTGCCCGTACGCCCATGATTTTGCAGCTGAGGTGAAGAAGCGGCGGTTGGGTGAAGCAAGCAGTGCGCGTCCAAAATTGCAAAGTGTATAATATTCTTTTTGGCCTACAACAGTCGGTTATGTAAAGCGCGTAAAGGCCCGCTAACTGCTCACATATCGTACTCTTAAAGCAATTAAGTTTTCGTCATGTTAATGGTCGTGTGTTCCAGTTTAAGGCGTCCCGGGCACGTGGGCGCCGCATCCGCCATGCGGAACCTTAATTGGCTCCTCAGCGAAGGATATAGACCGCCGATCCAGGCAATGGCCCGGGTGAGCATAATTAGTCCAATTAACCGTTAAATGTTCCCCATAAATAGAGACAATAAATATAAACAAAATCAGGCCATCGCTTTCTCTTGTCTTTCACCTCGTTCCAAATCCCACCACGTCCCCGCGCAAATGTTGGCGCGCAATTTCAAATGGATTTGAACAGAATGAAATAGTTGTACGGTCAAAAAAGGGTACAAATTTTTTTTTGGATATAAACTGAAAGAAATAATTGAAGAAATATTCCGTTATATTAAAATATGTATTTCCACATACTAAAAAAAAACTTTATTTCAATATACTCATGAATGAACAATTGTTCATTCTTTTGAGTGGGCACTGTAGTTTACGCATTTCCTGTTAATGGTTTTTTCTTTGTGGTTATAAATAGTGCTTTACTTTAGTAGACAATAAAAATACTAATATAACTAATATCTTGCTGTACAATCTTAATTAGGTAACTGATAAGGATACTTTCACAACTTTATAGAAACTCACCATCTTGCACCTTGAATTAAACCCACCACGGTTGGCGCCAATATTTAAAAGCTTATCTTGTCAAGTCAAAGCAACGTGTTCATTATTCACGGAAGCGCCTGGCTAAGCACTTTTGCTAACTGATAAAGATAGTTTCACAATCTTGTCGACCACTTGACTGTTGCGCACTCCTCTAGCGCCCTCCCTTTCGCGCCTTTTCTCTTTGTCTCTCTTTGTTTGGGGGCAACCGCCCTCGTTTTATGCGTGCTATTTCTGCTATTTGTGCTTGTTGCATTTGGCGATTTCAGTCAAGACGAAAATCAGTTACGCTCGAAAGTTCCCGCCGTCCGGATGCGAAAGTTTCTCAGGTGTCTAATGTAAAATCTCGCGCACTAAGTGAAGGTCGCCTTGGATCTCAGACGACGTGAGTTTTGGCTGCAATATTCGCGCGAAAATGCGGTTTTCCGCTGCAGATTTCCACAGCGCATGCTGCTAACCTGTGGCACAAAGGCGGCTTTTCTGGGTGGGGGTTGGATTATCCTAAATTTGACAAAGGAAGAATTTAAATATAAATCAAAATGTGTAACCCAGAGAGGCATCTGGCCGGACACAAACACAAAAGGAAACTATTCTTGGGCCCGATAAGATTAAGACAATTAATGGTTAGCAGCGGGATTTGCTGTGTGTTCTTTGCGTCCGTCGGTAATTTAATTTCCGTCCTTATCTGAAATCCCCAGCACTACGTCCAAGCTCCGGAGGCCCGGCCAGTGGCCGATGAGCGGTATTCGGCCAGCCAGCAGGATCGGAAGGATATCGCCACGCAGACCGTGCGGAGCAGCAAGCTCAAGGACCTGTCGCCCCCTCAGTCGCAAGCGACACCACCCTCGCCCCCCCTGACGCCCCCGATGTCCGACCGGAACGCTGATCCCGCCCTGGATGTGGCAACCGGCGTGGAGGTGCCCTACAACATTGACTGGATATTCCCAAGGCTAAGAAATCCCACGCGATTCTGGTATGTGGCCAGCCAATTTGTGATCTCCGCCGTTGGAATCTTTAGCAAGATCGTGCTGAGTGAGTATCTATCCGGCAGAGCCGACCTTACCCAATATCTGGCCCATTGGCACGTTTATTTTTGGCCAAGAGAAACGCTCGGAGAACTAGTGCCCCTGACCGTGACTACCAATGCAAATCTCTCGATCGATAAACGATGTGCGGATGCTGGCGATCTCGCGACGCTCTTCGAGGTCAAACGTGTGCCGTGTTAATTGGTGCCTCTGCGCAATTATTCAAATGCTGATCTTTCGCCTCTCTATTTACGTCTTGCAGTGTTCCTGAACAAAACCCGCGTCTACAACAAGGAACGACTGGTCAAGCTGATTACTAAAAGGCCGCAAGGCGTTCCCCTGGTGACCGTGTCCAATCACTACTCCTGCTTCGACGATCCGGGACTGTGGGGCTGTCTGCCCCTCGGCATCGTATGCAACACCTACCAAATCCGCTGGTCGATGGCCGCACACGACATCTGCTTCACCAACAAGCGGCACTCGCTCTTCTTCATGTTTGGTGAGTCTGCTTGTAATTAGCTTATGTTGCACCACGATTTAAAAAGTTAGAAGAATAAAGTTTAAAAATGCATTTAAGTACCAGGGAGTCTTGTCTTTAATAGGAACTCAGTTAATGTAAACTCTTTAAAAGAATTTAATTTGTGGCTTGCTACATATACCAATTCATTTAAATTATGAACTAGGATCTCATATTTTTCTGAGATCTCCTTTAGAATTATGCCTTAAGTTAGGTACTCAATGTTTGTATTAACCAAATTATTTGTGTATTTTAAAAATATTACATTATTCCCTTTAAATTTGTAGGCAAGTGCATACCTGTTGTGCGTGGCATCGGTGTCTACCAGGAGGCCATCAACCTGTGTATCGAGAAGGCAGCTCTGGGCCACTGGATCCACGTGTTTCCCGAAGGCAAGGTTAACATGGAGAAGGAGGAGCTGCGGCTAAAGTGGGGCGTTGGAAGGATCATCTACGAGTCGCCCAAGGTCCCCATCATTCTGCCCTTGTGGCACCAGGGCATGGATGACCTGCTGCCCAATGTGGAGCCCTATGTGATACAGCGGGGGAAGAAGGTCACCGTGAATGTGGGTCAGCCGCTGGACCTCAACGATTTTGTGATGGACCTGAAGAAGCGTCAAGTGCCGGAGCCCACGGCGCGGAAGCTCATCACAGACAAAATTCAGGAAGCCTTTCAGGTGAGCTTGATTTTAACATACTTCTTAGAATGGAATTTTGATAAATTTAAAATTATGTTTACAGGGCTTGCGAGCGGAGACCGAGAAATTGCATAGAGAACGCAACTAGCAAATCAGCATGGAAGAGCCTAGCGGCAGATATTTGTAATAATATTTATTTGTATAGTATTAAGCCTAAAATGAACCCTAAAAAGCCTTTGCAATCCAATTATTATAATTCTATTTCCGTGTATTATGGTAATTATTCACGATTTTAAGTGAGACAGTGTGCATTAATAGTGTAAATATACAGATGAAATTAATCCGATCAGAGGGAATAAAATGGCTGATAAAATAAAAATGGATCTTTGATTTTATTATTTTGTTGATGTCTAAAAAGTTGGCTATAATATCATTTTAATTGGGGCCATTAAATACGATGAATATCGTGGATCATTGCACACATAATTAAAAATATTGGCAACATTATCCCACAGCTGCTTAAAAATTCACTGTTAGAAGGCCGGGCAAAATGTAGGCCATGTGGATTTATTATATTTATTTTAATAAAGTGTAATTAAAAATACCTTTAGGTCACTTTCAGTTGGCAGAAAGAGGGGAGAACTCTTACTGAACACGCCCAAAAGGAAGCAATTACTCAAGGATGGTCCACCTGTTCCCACCAGGTGCCAAGTTCTGGGACGTGGGGCCTATGGCACGGTTTTTAAAGCTATTTATAGGGGTATGTCTGGAACTATAATAAGTTAAGATATAAACTTAAATTTCTGGTGCAGATCGCTCCGTTGCTGTGAAGATCATTCGAGCCCAGGCGGCCTCTACTTTGCATAACGAATCGCATTTGTTGAACTTGGAACACAGGAACATAGTGCGGCTCCTGAAACTGGAATCCGCGGCAGAGTTTGGTTTGGTCATCATGGAGTGTCCCAGGGGACAATGTCTGCAGAGGGTCGTAGACACTTTGGCACTACCACTTATCCATAGGGTTTTGTATGATTCGTTGCTCCTCCTCTAGATTATATAAATAATTTATCCATTTCTTCCTAGAATAACCTTAGATGTGGTTGCCGCTTTGAGATACTGTCATTCCCAGAATGTACTACATCTGGATGTAAAGCCAACCAATATATTGGTTGACCTGGGAACAAGGTCCTCAGGGGTTGGCAATTCTTATAGATTCAAACGAAGCTACATCTGCAAGCTCTGTGACTTTGGCTCCTCCATTGAAATGGGCGAATTTCGCGGTAGGCAGGAGCCAATCAATGCCAATGGAACCCTGAGATACATGTCTCCCGAAGTCCTGCGATCCGACATTCTATCCGAAGCCTCCGATATCTACTCCCTGGGCATTACCATGTGGCAGTTGCAAGCCCGTAGGTTGCCCTATCACACACTCGACTGCAATGAAACCATAGCTTACCAGGTGGTCAAGCACGAACTACGGCCGGATAACTATCATCAATTAAAGATTCTAGCTTTGGATTGCCCCAGTGGAATTTCTGCCGCAGACTGCGATTGCGACTACGTCAATGAAAACACCGCCGACGTGATCTACAGAAGGGCAAATAGCTCGGCTCGCCGTAACTTGAGCCTCGATCCATCTTACAACGCGGGGCGTGATCTGAAAAAGAAACGCCGCCAGAACCGATTAGCACTCCACTTCGATAGCCCGGCGCCAGAGGCGAGTGCGTGCCTCGAGAACGCTTACTCCAAACTATACAAAAGCTGCTGGGTCAGCGCCCCGGAATCACGTTTGGGTTCGTTCCAGCTGAAGCATGAACTGGAGCTCATTCTTGGCCGCACCACCACCACCAACACCTAGTTTAAGCGATCGTGTTTGTTTGCATTTTATGTAATTGATTAGTAGTACATACATATTTATGTAAGATTTTACCAACCCTCGGCGATAATGGTTTTTAGAGGCGAGGCCACTGGTTAGGTCAATAATTTATTTTTCTGTAACTTCTTTTTGTTTATTTTGTACTTGCTACGCTAAGAAAATACATTTATAATGTTTATATACGAGCTTACATCTATGTTCCCTCCTCGATCATAGTGCGTTCTGTTCTATATAGTGTATGTATATGCTTAGGAATCGGGCTGCTGCGATAAATTAGTCGGTGGCAGCAGCCCCTGAGGAGCTAACTACGGTTGAAGAAGAGCTTTGTCATTAGCTTGAACGACTGCTATTTACAGTTTATTGTTATGGTTGTCGTATAATGTTCGCTTAGAAACCGTATATATATATCTATGTATATATATATGTCGTACTATATATGCTTCCTATACTGCATCGTAAACAGTTTGAAATATTTCACCCTTAAATGCAAATGTTCAACTGCTGTTGTGTGTGAGGAGCTACTAACTCGGTTTAGTTTATGTGGTTAACCATGTCCTACAAATACACTCGACTTGTGCGGAAGACTACAGTTTTGGTTCATCTATGCATGACCATAGCTAATAGTGGTTTGAATTCAGTTTGAAGTCAATCAAATTGTCCCATTGTAGTTAGTATAACCTACTGATTTGGATGCTGCAACCGCTGCTCTACAAAATATATGGTATAGAGCAGGGCGAGCAATTCGGTTTTTGTTTCTTGTTTTTCAGGGGGAACAGTTGGCAGTGCCGCTTACAAGGTAAAACATCTTCCAAAAAATTTACAATATACATAAATACTCGTATTCGTACGTACAAAACTCGCTGGTGGCTCCTCCTCCATCATCTTAATGCTTCTGTATCTGTATCATTATCATTATCTTTCTGTTCTGTTTTGTTTTGTTTGAATATATCACAATTTAGTCTTTTTAAATCTTTAAATATTTGTTAGCTTGACGATTATTGATTTGAGATTTAGCAGTGGTGTACCCTAACTGGCGTAGGATCGTCGCACGGGAACTGGCGGAGGAATCTTCGACTTTCGCTGCTGCTGGGGCTGTTGGCCCGGTGACTTCTGCTGCGGCGACTGCGATTGCGGTGAGGGGGAGGAGGGCGAGGGGGAGCAGGACGAGGACATCGAGGAGGACGAGGACACCGACGAATGGATGCTCGTTGGAATTCTGGTGGGCTGCGCCTTGGGCAGGCAACTCTTTGGCGGCTCCGTTGACTTGGCTTCCTTCTGCAAATTGAATGGACGAAATACATAAATATTTGATGCAATCATTTCAGCCTAAATATCCCACCTTCTTTGGCGAAACGGCAGCTGGTGGATGCACCGGTGAGGTGACCCTTTTCCAGCCATTGCTCCTGCGCCAGGAGCTGGCCGTTGGCGGCGTGGAGGCCTGCCTTAGTAGCATCCGCTCCTTCAACTTGGTCACCATGCCGGGCGCCGGGGGAATCACCTCTTTGGCCAACTTTGCCATCATGGCACAGCTGATGCTGTCGCTGCGCACCACGGTGGACTCCAGTTCGCGACGTTGATTGTGCCGCAGGATGCAGCTGGGCTCCTGCTCCTCGAGCACCGATTTCGATTTGACGAGAACGTGCGGCGGTCGACGTAGTTCGCTCTTGATGATCTGGGCAATGCACTGTTGCTCATCCAGTGGCTTCATCGGCGTGCTGCTCACAATCATGGGCACATCCTCGATTTCTATGTCGCTGACCCTCCTCCGGCACTCATCGATCACCGCGTAATCCGGTTCCTCGTCCTTTTTTGCCTGACTGGCGGAGAGCTCGTCCGTTTCGCTGGAGGAGCAGCTGGTCAGCTGGGCCCTTCCTGCCTCGCTGGGCGTGGGACTTTCGCCTGCAATTCGTCCTGCAGGACCTACCTGACTCTCTGACATACTGGAATCCTCACCATCCTCGTCGTCTTCATCTTCGTCATCCGTCTCTCCCTCGAGATAGGAATAAAGACTGCGCGAGGAGTTGGATCGGATGTTGACCAGCTTGTAGAAGTCGTTGGTGAAGTCCGTGCAGGCCACCTCCTCGTCCTCGGAGTACACGATCTGTTCAGGTGAATTATTGATAAGTAATCATATGGAGGAAATCCAGCTTTATCCCTTACCTTTTGCTGCAGCAGCTGGGCTATGCCATCGGCCACTGAATCCGTTTCCACCGTGGTGGAGTTTATGAAGTCACTGGACGGCCACAGCCAGTCGTGATCCCGCTTCCTTCGTTGTTGCTGGGGATGTTGCAGTTGGTGGTGATGCTGATCCCGCTCGTCGTCAAAGGTCATCACGGCCAGTTCCTCTTGCGACATGCTCCAGTCCTCCATTTCCGTGGAGCAGGGTTCAGCGGGCAGAAGCCACTGCTCCGGTTCCTCGGGCAGATCCTCCAGGTGTCCATTCGACGGTTGTGGTTGTCCACTGCTCATGGTGCAGTACCCTTCATCCCTGCCCTTCACTGGACTCGCGGATAGAGCGGCATTCTGGGCCTCTAGATCTCGAACCCTGCTCTTCAGCATGGTCACTTCCTCGCGGAGATTATCTTCTGCCACGATGGCATCCACCACCTTGCGCATCACATCGTCCAGGCAGTGCTCATATTGTCGGATTCGGGTGAGCAAGGATCGATTCTCCTGCTGCATCGATTGCAGCAGGCTTTCCTGGCGGGCAAAGCGAGTCTGAAAGATAATCAAAATGGTTATGATAAAGTTAGATTCTGGTAAAAGAGAATTTATTACGCAATATGGCATAATATATTTTATTCCAAAAATCTGTTCTACTATCTATTTTGTTTTCACTAGATAAGTTCATTGATAAAAATACTGCCTATTTACGTTTTATTATCTGTGTAGAAGTGTTAGTTCAAGATAAGTTGTAAATGTTAAATGTAAACATATGAGTTGTAACACCTTATCTAGAAAAAGGGGTGTGCCAGAATTTTATGGATACAAAGGTTCTATAATTTATGTGTTGGAAAATATTATTTATTTGATAACAAAGTTTAATAATAAAGTTTTGAACAAGGCCCTTGTTCTCATATTCTGTAAATTATTATTTATACGTTGATGGTTGATAAGTTATATTTTTTTAAATAAACTGCAATTATATACATAAGTAGTAAGCTTCAGAATTTATTTGACTCATAATATATTGGATACCATATCAATGGTTTTAATGGTTTTATTATAATTAATGTCTTAAAAGGAACAATTATACGAAAAACCTTTCATCTTGATACTACACTAAGCTAAAAGCGATCCGTACAGTGAAAACCTCTTTCGGGAAAGGGCTAACTGATTAGATCAAGTATTTATCAAGTGCTGGGGGGCAACCTTCGCCCCTGACAGCTGGCCTGATGAGGGTCACACACTGGCACACGGCTCCTCATCCATCAACTGGCTCTTTTTTTCTGTAAGTGCTAAGTGAGCAGTAGTTACAAGACCCCAATCCCCCCTCCCCTACCCTATCCGAGATCCCAACGTGTAACAAATATCCAATCTCGATCAAAGCCCACTTGTTAACTGGCCCGAAGGTCACATGCGGCCGTTGGACGTGGAAACCTTGGGCTTCATTAGCGGCGCCTTACAAGATTGGGTGAGCAACTTTGGTTGGCGGGGCAAATGAGATTGCCAGAAGAAGTTAACGACGAAAGGGAAAGCATTTTCCATTCCCCCGGAAAATGGTAATGAAAAGCTGCCACTAGGGCGCAGTGAAGCGGCTCTAATGCCGACGCTCAATCAATTCGGGCAAAAAATGTGCCATCCAAGAAACCATTTTCCAACAAAGTCTCGCCGACGACTCCAGTTACTCCGTCCGGATAAGAGACAATTTGTATGCGCCGGAATGGCAGCGAGGGGAGAGATTGTTCTTAAAAATGAATTTATGCGTTTATTTATGACTTGACTCGGAGGGAACTCCACCCTCCACCCTTTGCGCTGTGCAAATTGATTTTCCACATGCTGCGCGGCTCTGTGCGGAAAAGCCCCTCGCCCATTTCCCTTTTCCCATTTCCATCCGATACATACCTGCAGTGCCTTGTGATCCCGACATGTCTGCATTTGCTTGCGTTCTTTGGATTTCATAATGCGATTCATGCTGCGGATGGCGGGGGAAAGCGAAAAAAAGAGGACAAATATAGAAATGCATAAATGAAAACAAATTGCAAAAAATCATAGAAAACGTGGGGCGCTTTCAGCAGAAAACTCTGAGTATTGATTACTTATTTATGAGCAGTTGAATGGAATTATGATTTCATTGTATTGGTAGTAACAAAATGCCAGACGAAATTTTCTAGCCTTTTAGCTGCTTTAAAAACTATTAAAATTTTTGGGGCTTCCAATTAACTCTGACCAAACTTTTTGCTAAATGCAAATATTAAATACTCTGGTTACAAATAATTATATCTTTTAAAGTTTTTACTGAGTCAGACAAGTTAAGTATTTAAAGGACTTAATATCTTCTTGTTTTGCTGAATTCATTTATGATTATTTTTTATATATTAAGCTTGTGTCATAATAAAGTTAATTATAACTTTTAAAGGCTCTTATCAAAACACTCTGATTCAAACCACTTCAAATAAATTATATTTTGTTCGACGAAGTTAAGTTTTTTCTTTCAATAAAATTATGAAAAAAACGAACGAAAGAGTTATTTTGTTCTTTATTAAGTATAAATAAAGAAATTATGTATTGCTAAAGTAATATTCGAAACATAAAAACCATAAATAAGTAGTCGCCTTTCGAAATTGCCTGCTGAATTGTTTACGTAAAGAAACGTTTGCGTAACCAGTCTGCATTGAAATTAGCAGCTAATGGTGGTCATAAAGAAAGAAAGGTCCGAACGAGAAGTTAAATCTCGGCCTAGACCAGAACTTGCACCATTTCCAAATCGCGGTAATTACGTATTCGGGCCGGCAGAGGGCGCTGCTGAGGGTTCGGTGATTGATGGGTTTCGCTAGTAAGCGCTTCCTTCTTCATTCTCCAACTCCTCCGATTCTTGGCAATTTGGAAAATTGCATTTCGCTGTGCCGTTAACTTGTTCTGTGCGTAATGGCCAAGGGGGCGGCTCGGCTCCAAAGGGGGCGTGCCCGGTCACGAGTCTTGGTATGAGTTATTTGCGTACGATTTGCCAAAAGCAGCGCGAAAACTACT